TATAGTTACAGAGAATCTGACTTCTTAAAGCATCTGTCAAGAGAGACGGAAACAAATGAGGAACATCTGCTGACTTTAACACGGTAAACATTTATCATGGATCAGAAACAGCTTTTTATTTTTTAACCAGCGCCTCACCACCTGGCAGCCCAGACTCGCTGCTTCACCTGACGTATAAAGCTTGAGATGATGTTGTTTCACATCAATAAGGCGTATTACTCTTTACAGCATCGGACCCATTAGACAGCAAATCTTACTTACATTTATGAAACAGGAAGGGAGGTTTTAAACCAATCAGAGCCCAGACATTAACACAGGGCAGGTTTTAAACCAATCAGAGCCCAGGCATGAACACACTTATTTAATTGTTACTTTATTTATTTAAGTATTAATTTATTATTTGCCCCTTTTGTTTGTTTGTTTGTTTGTTTGTTTGTTTGTTTGTTTGTTTGCTCACCATGTAAAGCGGCCTTGGGTCCTTGAAAGGTGCTATACAGATTGAATCACATAAACACAGGTGATGATTTGAACCAATCAGAGCCTTCACATAAACACAGGTGATGATTTGAACCAATCAGAGCCCACACATAAACACAGGTGATGATTTGAACCAATCAGAGCCCACACATGAACACAGGTGATGATTTGAACCAATCAGAGCCCACACATGAACACAGGTGATGATTTGAACCAATCAGAGCCCACACATGAACACAGGTGATTATTTGAACCAATCAGAGCCCACACATGAACACAGGTGATGGTTTGAACCAATCAGAGCCCACACATGAACACAGGTGATGGTTTGAACCAATCAGATGCCCATGTAGGTGTTCATCTTGCCCAGCGCGTCGCAGACGGTGTTCAGGTCGTTGCGCAGGTCCTGCACCACGTCCTCGATGCCGCGCGTGTCTTTCAGCAGGTCGACGCTCTGCGTGTACGGGTTGTAGTACACGGAGAACGGACGCTTTATCGACTTCGCAAACTCCCTGAGAGAGAGGAGACAAGGTGTGACATAAACTTTAAGTCAAATAAACTTTAAGTCAAATAAACTTTAAGTCAAATACAAATAAAATGTCAAATAAAAACAGACCGTTTGGGTGGAGATAAGAGCGGTTGTTATTTAAAGTGTGCGTTTAAATCACTCAGCGTTGACTCTTGGTGTCACACGGAAAACATATCTTCATTTTAACACTCCCAATGATATCTGTCAAAGTTATTCCTCCAGTGTTCGTCAACTTCAATCAATCAAAGTTTATTTAGCTCAAAAAGTGACACAAGTGTCTCAGGGGGCTTCACAGATTACACCGAATACACGCTGTCCTTAGACCCCTGCAGCGTAAAAGGAAACCCCACAGTTAACGGGGAAGAATGGAAGGAACCTGGGGGAGAGCAACAGAGGAGGATGTGTTGTAAATTAAAAAGGTAATACATTTAAAACATAGGTAATCCAAATGCTGGAAAAGATCATGTGTCTTTGGAAGAAGAGGAAGATGGATCCAGGTGGAGGTTCTTCTATGATTGTCCAGCAGTCTTTTCAAAATGAAGTTCTTCACAGGAAAATACTCGCTCAGGTTTAGAGTAAGATCTTGGTTTCACACGGGACAAAGAACAGTCTCCTGGTTAGGGTCTGGTGACTTCCTCCAAACCTCGTTTTTCTCGCTCTGTGTCTCTGGACGTCCTCCTTCACTCCCCTCATTATCATCTCAGCCTCTAGAGGTCACTGCATGTCCAAGACTGACCTTGAGTGGAGCGTCAAAGTCCCGTAATTTGACGAGTAAGGAGATTGCCTGCTACAGGACTTTGAAGACTTCAGAGGACCAGCTACAGCATTGTCTGGCATAAGAAGAACTTCACTTCACGTCGCAGTGTAAAGGCAGTGTAGTAACGCTGTGTGTGTTTCACCTCATCTTCTCCTTGGCCTCCTCGAAGCTCTCGGACACGAAGTAGACGTCTTGGAAGGTGGTGATGAGACACTCCTGTCTGCAGGTCGTCTTCGGGTCGAACATCCTCACACAGGCCGCCCCCGACAGGGCATGCTGGGAAACACACGGAAAACATGTTGTTTCATCCTCAATCCAATATACTATAGTGTGTGTGTGTGTGTGTGTGTGTGTGTGTGTGTGTGTCACCCTCAGCTCTCCTATAGATGACAGCAGCCCGGCTCCGTAGGCTCTCAGTTGCCCGTCCTGTTTGCAGAGTCCAAACTCGATGGTGAAG